TAAATATTATAAAAAATATGATATAACATCTGTAGCCCCCGACTCACTACTCAATGGAAGACCAATTGGTGTAGTGAGGCAGAGGAAAAGGAAAAATATCATATAAAAAATAAATGATGACTTAGCTTTGTAATATTCCCCTTGGTGATGGCAGAAGTGGCCAATGTGGGAACAAAGTCGTCCATCAATAACAATGAAGACACCAGTCGGCGGCGACGAAGGCGGTCGACGGTGAAAGCGAAGATGCCCACTAATGGCGGCATAATAGGTCAGCCGTGTAAGCGGAAACACCAGTCGACGGCAACGAAGGTGAGCCAACGGTGAGGACGTAGACATCCAACAACGGCGGCATAATAGGCCAGCCGTGTAGGCGGAGGCACCACTCGGCGGCGACGGAGGCAGGCCGGCGGTGAAGTCGTAGACGCCCAACAGCGGCGGCATAATAGGCCAGCCGTGTAGGCGGAGGCACCACTCGGCGGCGACGGAGGCAGGCCGGCGGTGAAGTCGTAGACGCCCAACAGCGGCGGCATAATAGGCCAGCCGTGCAGACGGAAACACCAGTCGGCGGCGGCGAAGGCAGGCCGGCGGTGAAGTCGTAGACGCCCAACAGCGGCGGCATAATAGGCCAGCCGTGCAGACGGAAACACCAGTCGGCGGCGGCGAAGGCAGGCCGGCGGTGAAGTCGTAGATGCCCAACAGCGGCGGCATAATAGGCCAGCCGTGTAGGCGGAGGCACCAATCGGCGGCGACGGAGGCAGGCCGGCGGTGAAGTCGTAGACGCCCAACAGCGGCGGCATAATAGGCCAGGCCTGCAAGCAACCAGAAACTCCGCAAAACTCGGCGACCATGTGCACGACGACCGAAACGCGGTTGACGATAGCAACAAACGCGGCCGACGCGGGGATGAGGTTGCCGCCTGGCGGCATGCGTGGAGGCGGCCGGTGAGCACGTTGCTCCCGGCGGTACATGCGAAACAAACAACAAAAATTTATTAGCACCATAGAAAACAGATGCCTATATACATATATACTTGCTATAGGCATGCATATATTAGTGATGCGAGGTTTGTTTGCTTGCTCCTATAATCCAGTCATGCAATGATCGTTGGCACTTGGCAGTGCATGCACTAGATTGATCAGAACCAATCTATACGCTTGCTCTAGCCAGTGTATGGTCATAGCATGCACCGTCGTCGTGTACGCCTGGTGTCGGTGTCGTGCTGCCAATGGGCGACGAACAACGTGAGGACGACGATGGCTCGACCGGTGGTCCCGCAGAGAACCAGCGAACACCCCAACCGGCAGTACATGTAACCGAGGAAAAAAAATACCAGAGCATCAAATGTGATTATAGATCAATCTGATAATAATATATTGAAACGACAAACCGATTATCGTTTGAAGTCGTCGAACTTGTTGAGATTAATCTCAACGCTTGAATTGATTCCATCGCACTCGTCAATAAGAAACTCGACGCACCCCTACCTGGCGCGCCAACTGTCGAAACATGATTTCGGCAATAATAAAAGGGGGTAGCGCACGAGACCTAAAAGTGGATGGAGGCGGAGACAAAGGATTTAGACAGGTTCAGGCCCTCTCAATGAGAGGTAATACCCTACTCCTGTTTGGGGATTTGAATCCGCCGGGTGTATTATAGATCTGACGATCTAGTTGTCTCATCTGCCCCCTAGAGGGCCTCCTGCCCACCTTATATAGGATGGGGGGCAGGATTACAAGATAGAAACCTTAACCAATACGGTATCGGTTTCCTAAATCTACTTTACAATATTATCAAACCAGGACTTTAGGCCGTTCCGTAATATACAAGGAAACGTAACACCCAAGTCATGATCTGTTACACATTACATAAATATAAGTTATCCCCTATGACTAGTCGGATAACCATGCCGTATGGATATGGGGTACCCATAATATCCACAACTATAAATAATCTAGATCCCTTCAAAATCATTCAAAATCTCTTATATTACGAGGATACGATGGAGGGAGTAGCTAGCTGCTGATCAAGTTTCAAGTGTGTCCCGTGAGGTTCCATCGGTCAGAAGCCACTGTATAGCTTCAAAGATAACGACACTTAGCCCCGTCGTCAGGTTGTTAGCCAGAGTTAATTGTACAGACTAATTGATAACAGCCTCATAGGTCAATGCGTCATCTACTTGTACGATCAGACAACAAGTATAAACTCCAAGATATGCCATGCACAAATGTGCCACTTGAAGTCTGAATATATCTTAGTTTTACCTGGAAAGTTGCATAGGCTGTATGTTCTTCTGGAACCTCGTCCTTGAGCTGGATTAATCTGACCGAGTCTTAATCTATTTTCTTTTACATACCAGAAACCCATAAATTATTCTTGGATTAAATAATCGCGATGCATTACTACGTAAAGCAATAAGTGAATTTGGATCCAGAAGCAAAGTCCAAAACAAGCAGAGACGACAGAGTTGAGTACGACTGAAAAAGCGCTTTTTCAATATCCCTTTAACTAACCCTGAAGAGATTCTCGTGTGCTGTACAGAAGTTATTGGATTACTGAATACTAGTATATACAGTAGGATGTCAACGGCTTTCACACGCACGCACGCAAGACCTGATCAAGAATTGAGAAGGACGGATTACAGATGCGGCTTTATTCAGTTCTAGATCTCCAAAATTGAATTGCCCATTCTCACGCGACCAAATCCATTATTTCGAAAGCTGGATTGAATTGTTCATCGAGCTCAATTGCAAATTAACCATAAAACATTTTTGACAGCAGTAGTTTGGATTGTCAGACAATCGATCTGTTGGTATATATTGGATTGTTGTGTGCATGCAGGCTGCATGAATGCGCGGCGGTTGTGCACCCGTTATGCGTGCTGGACTCCTTCCTGATCGAAAGCATGAGAATATATAATGTGATGTGCAAATCAAGACGTCACGAGCTGGAGAGTACGACTTTCAATTCATTTGCTTGACTGTCATTTTCACCGACAAGTTAAGCATGCATGAGATCGATCAGAATGCAGTTTTCTTTTTTTTTTTTAAGTGCAGCATGCAGTGATAGCTGGCTACTCTAAGGTGACAAGCAGTTTATCACCGACACTAGCTAATTAAGGGACCCTTGCTAATCGAGGGAGGAGAACAAGTACCATGCGTGGTGTACTCTCTGGCTAATCAGCAACTATCTCATCATGTGATGTGTTTGCTACTGCTGCTGCCAGCCAACATCAGACACAGCGCAGCCAGCTGATGATATAGACTCCCATCTAGTAGAAGTGTAATTTGTAAGCGAAAGATAATTTGTTAATAAAAACTTTTATATACGCGTTTACAGTGATATAAAATCAAATGCAAGAAAATAAACTTTGATAAGAAACCCTAAAATCAACTTAAAAATTTAAATTTTAGCTGATAAATATAAATATAAACGAAAAGATGTGGCTGTATATCTATCTTTGGAGTTGCATGTATTTTGGGTACATATCTACTCCTCGCAGTACTGGTACGTGCTTATCCATCTTGTTTCATGCGTATAAATGCATCAGCGAGGAATAAATTAAATGCAGCTAGTTATTAGTGATGAGATGAAGATATATATGATGATTCCGGCCATGGCGTTTGGCCGGAAAACGACGCCGATCGCCGGAATCGATCGAAGGCGCCGGTAGATGGAGGCAGCGAGATACGTGGAACGGCACCGTGGGCGCCGTCCGATTCTGATCAACGGCCGGCCGGTGGCGGTTGATGGTTGACGCGCATTCTGTTCCTTCCGTTATAAATGGGCCCCTCCACACTCCACACTCTAGTCTAGATCAAGCCACATTCCCCTATCCTTTTGGGTTTTACACTTTCTTGCCATGGCATGGATAGGATGGTAGTATAATTGTATAAATGATGCCATTTTAGTATAATTTTATAAAGGAACTCATTTTTCCAGATAAGAGTTTTTTTTAATATGTGCAAGTATTTATATGAAGGAAATAAAAATTTTAAAAATCCAACTCTTAATAATACGAAAATAATTACACGTTAGAGTGAGTCAATAGAAGGCATCGTACCTACTGCTATTGATTGGCATGAGTGCCATGCATTGCAAGTAAAACGTTTTGGTCATGTACATGGCCCTGGTCAAAATATGTAACTTCCTTAATCTCTTTTTAGATGGCAATAAATACTCCACTCTCTTGGATTTATCGAGCATTGACCATACACATCTCTAGTTAAATAACATTTAATAGGGCTAATGTATGAAATGAATAGCATTATTCACCTATTTAATAACCAAATCAACATTTCTACAAAGTTAAATAAGTCCTTTGTATTTATACTAGTACACAGAAATAGATACTACCTTCGTCTAAAAATGTTACTGCCTAATATAAAATGAGACATATTAGGTATGAATTTGGATAAGGGTTATCCAAATCTGTAGTACTATCTCTATATTTTAATGTATGACGCAATTGATTTTTTATCTAACGTTTGACCATTTGTCTTATTCAAAAAATTTATGTAATTATCATTTATTTTTATTGTGACTTGATTCATCATCAAATGTTCTTTAAGCATGACATAAACATTTTCATATTTGCACAGAAAATTTGAATAAAACGAATGGTCAAACGTTGGTAAAAAGTCAATGGCGTCATACATTAAAATACGGATGGAGTACTATACTTGGTGTACTAACATTTTGGTACAAAGATAGTATTTTTTTTTATGGATGTAACTGAAGAGAACACATGACATGTAGCCTAAAAATATACAACACCACAAGGATGTTTCTGTAAAAAGTAACACAACAGAGAAGAAATGGGTAAAAATGGAAAAACGAAAGTCGTCCCCACCAAGCTAGCGTGGCCATCAACCAACCCCTTTTCCATTCCGATCCGACCCGACGCGGTCAATTCCTTCCCACGCCGCGCATCGCATTCGCAAACTCCGACCGAGCCGAGCGAGTCGTCTTCTTCTTCTTCTCCATCGCGTCGTCTCCCTCCCTCCTTCCCCCTCCCCTTTAAAAATCCAAACCCCTCTCCTCCACCTCCATCTCCATTCCCAACCCAAACCCCCGCAACCGCAAATCCCGCGCTGCTAGTGCTACCTAGGGTTCGCCTCCCTCCTCCCTCCCAATGGCCGGCCCTACTCCTCCTCCGCCGGAGGAGGAGCCCTCCTCCCCTTCCCTGCGCCTGCGCTGCGCGGTGCAGCACTACGAGTGGGGCCGACGCGGGGAGGCCTCCCTCGTCGCCCGCCTCTCCGACGCCAACGCCGACGACCACGGCCCCGACCCCGCGCGCCCCTACGCCGAGCTGTGGATGGGCACGCACCCCTCCGCGCCCTCCTCCCTCCTCGCCGACGGCCTCCTCAGGGACTGGCTCGCGCGCCACCCCGCCGCGCTCGGCCCCGCCGTCGCCGCTCGCTGGGGAGGCGACCTCCCATTCCTCTTCAAGGTTAGGCGCTACCACCATTTGCTTCCTTCCAATCTGGTTTTGCCGCGTCAAACACTCGCTCTCCCGTACGACTCGGCGACGCTGACTTTGGCGTGCCACGCGCCCACACCTCCTCGTGCAGGTTCTGTCGGTGGCCAAGGCGCTGTCGATCCAGGCGCACCCGGACAAGGACCTCGCCGAGGTGCTGCACGCGCTGCGTCCGGCCACCTACAAGGACGGCAACCACAAGCCCGAGATGGCCATCGCCGTCACCGAGTTCCGCGTCCTCTGCGGCTTTGCCGGTATCCAGGTACCTGTTCAAACTCCCAAAATCCGTTACGCGCTTCTTATTTTTCGGGTTTATCAGCCACAGTCCCCCCCCCCCTGAATTTTAGTAATGTCAGTTGAAACGCACCCGAAAAGGCCGAGTACTCTTTGACTCCTTCTAATGTACCACTGGATCGATGATACGCTACAGTCGATTATATAGGAGTAATTTTTTTATGCAACCGCCAAAATTCCTTCGTTGCCCCAAATCGAATTGAGGGTGGAGTATTTGACTTTAGTGAACTGATTAACAGAGTGTCATCATTGAAAGGTCTCATGGATAAATTAGTTGATATAAGGAGTGGTTCCATGTATTTATTGGCAGCGACAAATGAATAAATGATGCGTAGTGTTCTTGACTGACAAGTGGAATGAACTGTTAGCAAGTACCAGACTGATGACCTTGTACATAAAAATGTGCAATAGGGTTTTTAGTTAGAAAAGGAATAATAAAACAAATATTCGCCTAGAATTACCGAGTGTGCTGAACAAAAGCAGAGAGTGCACTAATTATCTTCATTATGTTGCATTCTCCTTTCATTGAATAGTGCTTAGGCACGTAGCTTTCAGGCGACAGTTTATTTTTATTTTTATTTTTTGAAAACTTTCAGGTGACAGTTTAGGGAATGAATTAAACTTCATATGGTTCAAAAATCAAAATGCAGAAACAGGACCTAAGAATCCAAACATGCGAGTGATGTTGAATTCTGTACTTGTAAGAAACTAAGAATGATGCTTCAACAGGTTGTCACACGCATACCTCATGGGTCAGCATTTGCATATGCTTGCTCTTTTTTTTTTTTAAAAAAAAACTGGGTGTTTTCATCATTATGCGAATGGGTGTCAAACCCATGACTTCACGCCTGTGCACCCCTGGAGTCCATCTGGAACTCATCGAAGGCCCTACCTTTCCAAATGATATTGTATGATACACGTGGAAGTGTTTGCTAGCATCTTCCGTATACAAAAAAAAAGCAGCAGTTATTAGGAGTATATGGATGGTAAATTTGGGGAGTAATAAATTTGAACTGCGTGTCCGAGAAAATCTAGTGGGATGATAATTTATAGATTAATGAATCATATATGTAGTATGTAGTTCAGTAATGACTGTACAATGGAAAATTGATGAGATCATAATTCACATTCCATATCTTGTGGCATATGATTAAGCAATCCTTCAGAGATTTTTTGGATTAATGATCATTAATATTGGAAAAACACTTTTTTTATGTATAAATTATGTTTTAGAAAGGTTTGTGTCAACATGAAAGCTTGTCGTGCAGTTTTAAACTCCTGCATTTCATGTCTGTTATAACTTTTTTTTTGTTGTTATTCAAAATATTGACTTTTGTCATTATTGTTCCTGTTAATCAAGGCCTTTTACTTGCTTGTTGAATTTGCACTTTCCGTTGAAAAGCAATCATAATATCTGTGGAATCTGAGTGCAGGCATCTAGGTTATGAGTAGGTATTTAAAGGGTCATTTAAGAAATTATTATCAGATCAGAACCAGGGTTCCAAATCCTAGTGGTAACTGGTAACTGTTCATTTACCAGAATTAGGCATGTCAAAGTTCCTGTGGAAGCAGGCTTGCACGTGAGAAATCCTCAAATTCCTATGGAGGTGGTCAGCAGGTCAGGGATGAACTCTCCACATGGGAACCCGCTGATATGGTTTTAAGATTTCTCTAAGCGTTGGTGTTAGCATACACTATGTCGGTTTATCTATTCCTTGTCCCGTTACCACGCCTGAATAGAATTCAACTATGACTGGCTTTAGTTAATTTATGTGGTGTTTCAGAAGAATTCAAGAAGCAGAGTTTTTTCTCTCTAGTGTGTGTAGATCTATGGTACTTGAAAAATAAAGGGAAAACACACACACACACACACACAGAAAAAAAGAGGAAATTGGAAGCATTGCACTAGAATCCAGAGGGAATAATCAGGTAGTGGCTTCCTGGTGTGTTCCAGGATTTGTCTGCATTCTGAGATTTGGGACTCTGGTTATATCCATAGCCTTTGGTCTCATAATAGTTATATGTTCTCTCTTTAGAAAACAAAAGTTTTCTGTCATTGTAGTGTCAGATGGCATACATCTTGGGTTCATAACCCACTTTTAATGGGTTTTTGTTTGTTTGTTAGTGCTAGTTGAGATTTATTTGAGGTGTGCATAATGTTAGCAGGAGCAGAGTATATATTACAGTGCTGTTTGGGAGAGCTTCTTCCAGCATACCACAATCCCTGTCATTTAATTAACAAAAACCACATATCTTTTTTAAGATTACGCAATTTTACTGGCAGTCATAGATGCTTCCTTTTTTTTCTTTGAATAGCTACAGGTATAAATCTGCCTTGTTCATTAATGTACTGTCTATACAATGTTGAAGGAACTTAAGGACGTTTTAAGAACTGTGCCTGAAGTTGAAGACCTTGTTGGACCTGAAGATGCTGCCAAGCTTTTGTCTGTGAAAGAGTACCATGGTGTCAATGAAGTAAAATCCTGTCTGCGGTCAGCTTTTACTAAGCTAATGACAGCTAGTAAAGAAGCGGTTTCTGAAGCAATTACAAAATTGATTTTTCGCCTGAATGCTGAGAGCAAGGTAAAAATATGAAATCAACTAGAATGGTTGTGGATATCTGCATTTTCACATGACATCAAATATTAGAACCTTCCCATATTTTATGGAAATACAGGCTTTTCATTCTTTGGATCTTCATTTTCTATGCATTTACATTATCTTACACTCTTACCAGTAAAATGTGCCATGAACATTTCTCTTCATTATCTTTCCAAATGAAAGTTAGGTTCTGTTCTCTCCTGCTTGAAAGTTATGCGGTGGTTCTTTCGTATACGATGCTAAACCTATCAGTGGTTAATGAGATGTTAAAGTGCACAGATGATGTTTAAATGGCTTTAATGCTTTGTTTTACCAATGCTATGCCATATGCAATGCTCTTGTTAACGAGGTCATATCTAGTACTCTGACATGCATTCTCCTTGTTTGAGACCTCTGATAAATGTGGGACTGAACATGGGGTCTAACCCCGCAGCACATAGTGTTAAAGACGTAACTTGCAAAATGACATTGTTCATTGTTTTCCAAGTTAAAATTTATTTTGTTTCAACCGCATGGACTTGACTCTTCGAGACATGGAAACATAGTATTGATTACTAGGCAGTGTCAAAGCACTGAACAGTAGAAAATATATATCATGACATTTACTTTTCTTACATTCATGTGCTGTGATTGCGTTGCTATGCTACTTAATTGAGTTATTAGTTACATGGGTTGTAATTGGGAGGAAAACAACAAAGGGGGAAGGTAAATATAATTGCACCCATGAGCAGCAATTCATGCTATTGTTTTTGTTTAAATCGTCCATTTTATTGAACATTGCATAAAACAATTCCTGTTTTGTTATCCCCATTATACAAAACGTTCCCTTAGGAGTTATCATCTTCCAAGTAACCCTTTCTTTACAGCAATATGAAGCATAACTAACTAGAGTACCTTTTTTTAAAGAGAATTTAATGAATACAGGTCAAGCCTGAGATTCTATCTGTACTGATAATGATGTCATGATCTATTCAGGTAAGGACCTTAACCGAGAAAGAAAATCTAGTTTTGTCGCTGGAGAAACAATACCCAGAAGATGTTGGTGTTCTATCAGCATTTTTCTTCAATTATATCAAGCTCAGTCCTGGTGAAGCACTTTACATTGGTGCCAATGAACCACATGCATATCTATCCGGGGAATGCATTGAATGTATGGCCACTTCAGATAATGTTGTTCGTGCTGGTTTGACACCCAAGTACAGAGATGTGCAAACTCTTTGCTCTATGCTAACATACAAACAGGTGAGTTACAGAAGTGAAACCATGACAATTTCTAATTTTGATCACATGCCGAGACCTAGGAAGGATGCTTTCCCAAGGTCTGCAGAAGTTCTGAGAATTCGTCGTCCCAGGACCCAGGCTACAAGCCAGCACTGACATATGTATTGTGCTATGATGCCTATGCATCTTTGATCTTTATTAAACAGTGAATACCATAGTGAACTCCACAAAGTTGTCGCAATGATCATCAAAAATATCCTTTTGCAGGTCTTTCCAGAAATCTTGCGGGGGGTTCCTGTACAGCCGTATGTAAGAAGGTACACCCCTCCGTTTGATGAGTTCGAAGTTGACTGCTGCTCACTACCACCAGGCGAACTGGTTGTGATATCCCCAGTGTCAGGTCCATCCGTCTACCTAGTGATGGCCGGGGAAGGCGAGATCCAGGTAGATTCCATGCCAAATGGTGAAAAGTCTAAACAAGGTGATGTTTTCTTCGTGCCAGCATACACCGAGGTTAAGTTCTCTGCCTCTGGTCCTGAGTGCATGCAGCTGTACAGGGCTGGGGTCAATAGCAGATTCTTCAATTAATTTAGTGACTGCTGAAAGAGTTCCACACACAATTGCTGTAGGTAAAAGGTCAGTGCTTACAAAATACAAGTGAAATGATATGACTAGTTAGCAAAAGTTACCATATGTACTGTATAGGTCAACAAAAGAATAAGTCAGGTTCCTTCATATCTTGATTATTTGTTCTTCCAAAGAGGTCTATACCATAGCGTTCCTCACGCATCCAGATCCATCTGAATGGAGAGGATTACAGAGAATAACTTTCAGCCATTCTATTCTATTACATTGTAGTTCAGAACTAAAATGTGAACTGGTCTCAAGCTTTGACACCGAATATAGTTGGAAATACTTACAGACATGCTCCATGTCTTTTCATTGTTTGCTCTGCCTTCTAGGCTGGATGACCTGAGTCGTTTTCCTTTTGTTTTGTCTGTGGTGATCATTGGCATTGTCGTTCACTTGGACATGCCGTTGATATTGGCATCGATCCATTGCTTAGTGCATGTCAATTTGCACTGCCAGTTTGTTTGTTGTTTCCTACTGCTACTTGAAGTACCTGGTGTTGCTTTCATTCAGTGAAAGCCGGTTGGTCCTTGCGTAGTGCGAGAAGGCCCAGTGGGCTTTTGGTGTTTGTTTCCAAGAAGAAAAGAAACAAACAGCATTGGATTGGACGCCGGAGTTGCATGGCATTTGCAGAATTGCAGGTCGTTTTCCTCTGCTTCTCGTGGCCCGATTTGGTTAAGCCAAAACGGTGTCTTTGATAGCGTGGACACGTATGTAGTACGTGCAGTACAGGTTGGTTGGGTGGATCACGGCATATATATAGCGTGTGGCTGTCATCTGTGCATGCACGAGCTTGTAGTAACCTGTTGGCTGCAGGTGGCCATCCATGCATCCTTCCTTGGCTTGGATACATCCACTTCGATCAGTCATCAGTGGCACAGCCAAACAAACCTGCAAAATAAAGGTCTCTCTCCTTATCACGTCAATTCCTAGAACCAGCGATCATTTTGTCCTGCCTGCTTTCACTGGCACAATTTGCTTCCTCTATCCTCATATCCCATCTTGGACATCATCTTGTTTCCTTCAGAATTTTCAGATTATCGCTGCATTATTCATCTGTAATGTAATCTCGTACGGAGTATTATTCTCGTTTGTCCTTTGTCGTCATCGTCTTCGAGAGCTTAGACTTGCAACCAAACTGCCCTGCTGGTTGGTCTCTGTACCCTGTATGGTTTAGTAATTACTTGGAGAGTGCAGTGCTGATGCTACACTTTGACCAAGTATAATATCTGGTGCTTTATCGATTCATTTTTTTTGTACGTGTTGTTAAAGCAAACGTGGGGCAATTCGGCCGTCAATCCCGTGCGGCACGTCAAAGGAACACAGAGAGAGTTTCGCAGGCTTAAGCAACACCAGCTAAGCCATCTACTTACCTGTCTAATCTGTGCAAGTGTGCATGCTTTTCCTCCCTGTCAACTCTACTTAATAGTTACTGACACTAGTAGTACCATTGGGATCATATCAACGGTTGGTGGTGAAGGCCGCATCAAGGAAAGAAAAGACTCCAACTTTTGATCCAAACTATCCAAGTATGCATTGTCATTTCACATTGGAGAAGTAGTGGACTTCCAGTGTGTGGTTGGTATTCCGTGTTGGTTTTTTGGTTGATGGCTGATGTACATATATGTTGTGTTGATGTTCACTTGACAGGAAAGTTCAGGTGATTCGGCCTGTTGTTTTCCAGCATGTGTGGAAGACGGATGGATGTCTTCTTTGATCATCTCTGTGGACTGTGTGGAAGATGTTAATTAGTGGGTCACCACAAGTTGCTAGCTGCAGAAATGGACTCCATATTCTGGATCATATATACAGAGTAGTTGTACATGACAAATCAGCATCATATCATTGCTAGTTTGCCACCTGCTCAAATTTATATGATCAGAGCTTGAAGATGGTTGCTAAGCTAGAGCTTTGGTAATAATTACCATGGCCTAGTGGAAATCATGCTTGTCATGGATGTGTAGCAATATAGCATATGATGGGCTGGAGAGCATGCACAAAGCCGAGAGCTTGGCATACAAGCTTGCATGCATCTTGGGTAGCTTAAAAAAAACAAAATCTTGCATCTTTTAATTGAAGGTTTTGTTAAGCACAATAAGTAATCCACCCTAGCTACAAATTACTTTAATTAATTAAGTTGTGTAAAGCATGCAATCTGGACAACGTAGTACGTTGAAAGTTAGGCCAGCAGTCAACAGCCACTGTAAAGCTAATGCCGGACCAAACGTGCAAAAATATCATACATATGCAAGCTGATTAACAAGTTAATTAGTAGCATGTTTTCGCGTAACCGGTATGGCAGCATCATATATATACTACGAAGTGGCATCTTGCCGGGTTAATTAGCTCAGTTCATCAGGTTCAGTGAACGATCACCAAGTCGTTTGATTTGACTAGGCCGCGACTATCTCTGCACAGTAGGACGGATGACTTCCTTTTTAACTCTAGCATTGACTTGCATTATCCTTAGGACCTTTAAGCAAGTGAAAACTAAAAGACAAGCTATCACAGATCAAATTTGTTTGTTTACTGACCGTTCTGTTATAAGCCCAAGGTCGAGTGATTCAAACCACTAGCTATAGCTAGGAAGGCAATACCTCCACTGTTTTCACGTAATATGGTTTTGTGTTTCTTCTATAATTTTTCAATTCTAAGTGAAAACTAAAAGACAGGCTTGATAATTAACTAAGCAGTCTACACTATTTAAATATATATATTTTTGGTGAGATACCCCTTTTTATTTTTTAGACGGCCTAAAATAAAATCCTCCTACAAAAATGCACGTGTCCCGATTACTTGAATGGAGTTATTTTTACATATGGTCCTACTATGAAAATCATAAATTTTACAAGTGCTTGTTAAGAGGGCGGCTTGATGTCATCCATGGCGGATTTGATTGTGCAAGCGCTTGGGAGTGCCAAATCTGGTGGTGGTGACAGCTGCGGAGATGACTACGGTAGGTTGCGGAGATGACTGTGGTGAGGACCGTGACCCAGCGGTAGTAAAGATGACGGCAACAACGGGCGAATAAAGGCGAGGTCCCCCACGGCGGCGGCGAGCAGATGCATACGAGTTCATCCATAGAACCGATGGGTAGATCCAAGTGTGCTCATCCACCAGGCTAGAGGTAGATGAAGGCGAGGTTGTCCATGACGCCAATTGGCGGATCCAGGGGTCGAGGTTGTCCACAACGCCGACAAGTAGATCTAGGCGAGGTCGTCCGTGATGATGAGGAGCTAGGGTTCCTAGGTAGCAACGGATCTGGTGACGATGGCGTCGGCTTTGGGAGCGGCGATGATTGCGACGACCTAATTGCTCCCTCTTCTATGCGTATGCGATCTTGTCGCCCTCACCCTCTTCTCTTGCATCAATGGGTGAAATTGTTTTGATCGGCACATGGAGCAATGATTTTTGAATTGTTGGATATTTTTTTTGGATGAATTGGATACCATAGACGAGTGACTTATTAGCTAGCCACATGTGAAAAGCCCTTCTTCATAGACGAATAACTTAGCTGGCCTCCTGGAAAGGGGCATTTCACATGCGGTTGTCTATGAAAATGGACTTCTACAGGAAACCACATCCTACATGTAGAAATACAATATTTCCACGGGCGTTTTTGTTACAAGCAATTGGGCCAACCACCTCTGGAAATCGAATTTATCTGCCCAAAAAAAGATTTTCATAATAGTACTATGAAGTTGGGAAGGTCATGTGATGAAATGGCTTGAGCTACGCATTTTCTCATGCTCCATCTATTTCCAAATTAATATGTCAGCGACAATAATTACTGCTTCACATTAACTACCACCAATACTAACTTCCTATGGTTAAATTATAATAAACAAAAGTTGTATTGTCTTGTTAATCCCTTCTTTATATAAAGTTAAGGCCAAAAGCTCAAACCTCGTGCTTCCACGTCATCATCAAATTGTGAACCGTTGGATGAATGCATTAGATCGCTTCTCAGACGTATAGAGCCCAACCCATTAGTCACCGGGTGAGTCTCTTCGCCCTCAGTGCCAAATGTAGCTCACATGAACACATTGACCCATCTCCATACACATCTACATGTATCCAGCCCGTTAATCCGTATAAAAGAGTTTTATGGCTGAACGCCCCTTCAGTTGACATGCGCTACCTAAATTATCTACAATTTTTGGATAGGGCTGCTAAAAAGAATTTCTCCAAGAAAGCTATTTGTTTCTTCTGTTTCTTCTTGAAATTATACCTCCTATCTAACAAATTGATGTTAACCAAATCCTGCAGCAACACGCGGAGCATCCTCTAGTTAACAAAGGCAGAAGACTCTAAATTTGAACACTGAAAATTCTGGAAGCAGCTGCAACCGCCAAAAGACTCCTCAAACATGACCTTAACTAGTCTGCTGAAAATCTATGCAATGCTATCATGGATGCTGTCACACATTTCCCCCTTACACAATTCCTAGTAGTCCCAACTAGCTAATCTACGTCCAATACTTTCTCCATCCCAAAATGAATTTATTTTTCACCCATCTCACATGCCAATAAAAAATTTAGAATACCTCTACTTTATCAAATCTCAATGCAACTATTTCTCACTTCATATATTTCTAACACAATTATTTCATACTGTCATAAACTCCGATGCAATGATTACTTTAAAATTAAATTTATTTTGAGACAAATGGAAATGATAAAAATAAACGGGACGGAGAAAATGTATGTCTTGGTTGTCAGAACATGGGATGTGGCCCGGCCATGATTGTTGATTTTTTTATGCACATTAGTTGAGTCGTTTCAAATCAAGGGTACGATCGATCTCAACAACATGACAAGGAATGGTCGATTTTGGATATGGTCCTGACTTGACCAGATGGGATGTTTCACTGTTGATAAGAAGCATGCATTATGTTCACCGATTTGGCATTTCAATGTAACCCCGTTTTGTCACACAGTCGGTGCAGGGAGGTTCTCCAACACATTCACAAATACTACTTGTCTCTCTTCACCAAAGCTTCGAGAGTTCATTTTTATTATATGCTAGTATATATTTCTAAGGCTTGGTTCTTAATAGAAGATGTACGAAACTGAGTTTATGATAAAATGGTACAAACGAGTAGAAAGTTAAAAGGTTGAAATAGCTTTCTTAAAGACAAGCTAATAAACAAGTTTTTTTAATAAAAAAAAAGTAGTGTAGGAAGCGTGTCTATGTTAATCAAATCCATAATATAATCTGTTAGCTTAAAAAAATCATGAACCAATAAAATTCATGCCATTAAGAACTAATTAATCAAATCCAAATTTGTCTCGCCAAATTTATGACGGTCAGGGAGGAGGGAAATTTAAAGAAACCGGCGAGGACAAATTAAAATGTGAATACATACACAACAAAATGGTGACCTTGATATACATGTACTTTTTTTAAAAGATTACATGGAAGACGTAGACACACACAGAACACGCATTCACACACCATGAATTAATGCACCCTAGAATCCTAATGAAAGCACACCATAATTGATTAATCGGATCCCCAAAGTTTATTTTTTTGTTAATTTTTTGGAGATGATAAAATAGGACATATATTCCTTGGTTGGAATTAATGTTACATCTCTGCAAAATATCAAAAATAAATCTCAATTGCATTTACCTTTACCAAAAATACAAATGTGTTCCCCGCACACGGAATTAACATTGAGTACAATTTTAGGCATGTAAGCATGTTTATCAAAATTAAGAAGAAAATGATCTTCAAAGCTTTTGAGGTACTACCTCCGTCCTCTCATACATCCAAAATTTCTTATATTTTAGGACGGAGGGAGTATAGTACTATCAGATAGACCAGATATGATAATCGGAGCATTGACTACTGTTGTATGTGGGAAAAAAATGCATCTTTTTTTTTCAGTTCATTTTACTAGGGTTGAATTGGCTTATATTATTGTTTCTAAATTTAGCAACTCCCCAGCAACAACATCAGTGTAAGTACACTAGCAAGCTACTTTTGCCTTTGCTTACAGGCAAGTGCTACTAGGAATAAGTGGAAAATTTGACTTTATTGAGCTAGAAGATGGATTTGATATGACAAGGACTCAGAGCAAGTCTCATCCACTGCACACAAAGAAACAAAAGAAACCTAGGTTGCTTATAATTGCAAACATTAATGAGTTAATTAGCTGCCTTTTCTATTTCGTTCTTGAGTGTCATTTTTCTTCAGTAATGTTACGTTAATGCTGCAAAACATGCATGCTAGCTAGGTGTACTGTATATGTAGACTATGGTACAATATATAGCTATAGCTCCCTATTTTAGCTTTGATGAAGCATTGTTAATCATTTTGCAGAATGAATTATTCCTGAAAATTATTGTATATGTTTGATCCGAATTTCGTTTTGCATTCACACATGCATGTGAATGGATATTAAAGTTTGCATGGTTGGCTTATAGTATATCTATGTGGCCTTCTTTTTAAGATTAAATATTCACCGAATTATTAAAATAAATTAATTGTTTTACGCTTTAAAAATAGGTGTATGAGAAAAATGCGTCCTCTATATTTTATTACTTAGACCACTTTGTTTTAAGCTTAATTTTTAAAATATTAATTTTTATCTTTATAAACAAGAAGATTTTCTCAAAAAAGAAGTGTATTAATATAATCATTAACGATAATCTACTCAATAATCTAAATCAAACGTTACATACCATATACTCCTACTAAAGCAAAAGCAAAACGGTGTAGTTATGAAATACTCCCTCCGTCTCAAAATATAAGCAATTTTAGCATAGTGACAAATCAAACATTTTTAACTTTAACCATTAATAGCAACAAAATTAAAAAAAAATCAATCATGTAAAATTAATGTTACTAGATTTATCGTTAAACAAATTATCATAATATGCAACTCTTTTTATTTAAAATATATTATTTTTATAGATATTATTGGTCAAAATAACATTTCGGAGGGAGTAAATGAACAGGTAGGTACTCCAGGACGCATAGCGGTACCCTGCAAAAAAATTGGACATGTGTGTTTGTCCGTGTCGGTCAACATGAACAAGCAAGGAGACATGGCCTGCCCCTTGAAGAACCCCCCTCCCTCTAGCTCTGTCCATTCTGCAAACAGTCGCCGAACGAAAGTTATACGTGCATGGAGACTTGATGCATGGCCGGAATATTTCTGTGTTTGTCAGATCAGGTCTGATTGATCACCAGCTGCTTCTCTCTCTCTAGCCTTACTACTCCCTCCTCCCAAAAATAACTGCAGCCATGGTTTTCCGCGCCCAACTTTGACCACTCGTCTTATTTGAAATTTTTTATTAAAAACATAAGTCACGAGTAAAGTAGTACTCATGTTTTATTATCTTATAACAACAAAATTGCTAATTATAAAAAAATTTCAAATAAGATAGATAATCAAGGTTGGGCGCTGAAACTCATGACTGCACTTATTTTGGGACGAAGTCAGTACTCGTATACTTCATCCGTCTTATAAAAAGACCAACCTAATATCGAATGTAATAATCTATCTGTTCAGATTTATAATACTAAAATACGTTACATATCTAGTACTAGTAAATTAGTTTTTATGAGAAGAAGAAAGTATATCATAGATGAACCATATATTTGTGTTTTGGATGTATGCTTGCATGCACACATTACATCCTACGGTTGTAGCGCCATATATCAGCACTGTTTGCAGAACAAAATCCTGTCAGTGATCGAGCGTCTCTAGCTACGTACAGATATGCATGGGGGCCTTTGTTGGAATCCGATGGACAATATATAACGTTAAAGAGAAGATAACATGTGTCAAGCAAGCTTTAATTTGACGGACGGGGCCTCTCTAGCTACATGGTGAGCATTCACTGGATAATTACTATATTTCTTCTAAAATATATATAGTAGTAATCTAGGATTAAATTAACGAGTACTACGAATTCGAATCTAGACAAACTCTTATTTGGTCCTAAATTACTAAATTTTGAGACGGGGAGAGAGTATATGTTAGAAAAGTATCATTAGTTGTGGTGAATGATGATGGAGTTGTGAGTGCAATTTGTCCATCAAGTATCGAATTCTATTGCTCACAATATGTACTCTGTGTAAATTTAATTACTACACTGAAAATTTATATTCATTACCTTTAATTAATACACTATATTCTTAAATCAATCTGAAGTGAAGCTCAGAAAAGATTATACATAATTAATTAATTCGATGTATATATGATTATTGTTGTTAGTTTTCAAGGTTTAAATTCAACAAAAAGTAATGTTTTCAGCAGCAGCAATTAATATATAAATGTATTTTAATGATATGGGAAATATTAATGTTAGTCAAATATACATCAATATTGTTTAGGACTGTATCACATATATATATTTGTTACAAAGTTTTAACGAAATATTATTAAATATTTCCTTAAAACTATCTGATCCCCACGTAATTAATTAGATTAACTTAATTTCTATATCACGTGTTCTGATTCATGTAGTCAAGTCCTGGAGAGGAAAAAAGAATCTCCCTTAAATTAGTATGCACCTATCAACGCTCTTCCTTTCCCATTCTATCAAAACGCTTTTAATTTTTTTTTCTCGCCGGCCATTCTCTATCAAATGCCATGTCCCACATCCTTTAAGAGGAAGTCTACTAGCACAGTGCCCTTGAAAGCTCCAGGAGTCTTATCAAAGCAAAAATTTCAAGTTGGAATCATCTCTAGCTATAGCACTTTCTTTCTCCACCTTTCTCCATCCATATAAATATATACAACATATATTTAGGAGAAATGGATGAGATATCCATATGATTGTAAAATTGTTCCCTCTCTGGCCCGTTAGATTTGATGTGACGATATGTTACATCCATCGTCGTTTTCCATCTAGAGTACGACTGGCAATTTTTCTCAGAAAGAAGCATGATTGGAAAAGATATATTTAATAACTACATCCTAGGTTATATAGAGCAACAAACTTAAATTCTAAGTCAAATCATTAATTATCTAACATGGTAGTATTATCTCAATAATGTACGCATCAAAAGAAAACAAGTTTTACTCCTTCCATGTCATAAAAACATGTTTCAAGTCAAACTTAATGTGAACATCAATATTTTAAAAATATTTAGTTAGATGTATGAAAACTATATTTGTAGACATGTACATATATAGCATGATAATTTTATCAGGGTTTATAGGTCAAATTTGTACGTGGGACACCATGCATGTTCATGTGTAAAATGACATGTTTTCATGACTGAAGGGAATAACTGATCGAACTCATGTATATTCATTTGTTTAAAAAACATATATGGACAAAATGTACCTGAAATTGTATCACTAGCCTAGCTATATATACTTCAGAATGTCTATCTAGTGTGGCAACTTGTGATAGCAAACCACACATATATAACAATAACAACCCTCTAGCTCATTGTTGAGTTCTTCTGGAAAGTAGCGTGGCGACGCGTTTGTGTGCTCTACTTGTTAAATTTCCCAAATTTGCACAACTCAATTTGAGTTTTATTGGTAACCCTCTTCTCTTCTTCTAATATATTGACGTGCAATTCTTTTGCGCGTTTGCAGAAAAAAGTTTTATTGGCAACCACACATATATGTAGATCGAGATCGAGATAGCCATCTCAAAGCGACATGTCATTGCCGACTTTCCCTAGCAAGAGAAAGCTAGCAAGCCAGAGAGAGGCATCTCACTCTCACACACACATCTATAGCTTGATTCTGACCCATATTGTTCCCATCTCCAGATGCAATTACAGCACACAACCCCACCAACATAAACGAGATCACTTGGAGACAACGACCTCTCCTTCGATGATCAATGCATATAACAACAAGATCTCTTTCACAAACCCAACAAATCAAAGCTAATTGAATCGCCTTTTAACAAGAACAAACAAAGAGAGAACACACATACGTACGTACACAATTACATTAACAAAGTACTACTACTAACAATAGTTACATGCACCATCGATCGATCAACCACTACAAGAAGCTAGCTAGCTCTAGCTAATATGTTTAAACACATCTCAATAATATTCTCTCCATCGATCGGAATCATCACGCTATTGATCATCTTCTACTTTTGATTTTTGCTTGATCGATCACTAGTACTTCTATCTTGATCGATATGATGGAACAACTCATCCATTAGCTAATGTGACAGCATCATCAACATCATCATCATGATCATCATCTCATCTCGCTTTAATGGAGAGACATCACAAGAAGCAACTTACCATCTCATCTATCCATGATCCATCCATCCACTTAGCCTTTAGCTACAGCTAAGCTCAGCTGGATACGTAGCTACCTAGCTAGCTAGCTAGATTCCTCCTCCCCACTCGCCGAGCTTTCTCGCCGCCGCTTGGCACACCTCGTCGGACCTCCACGTGTCGCCGCCGTCCATGGCGCCGCCGCAGTAGTTGTAGCTGCCGGCGTTGCCGGAGGCGGTCATCATCGTCATCATGGCGCTGCCGGTGCAGCTGGAGTTGAGGTAGTCGAGGAGCGTCGAGTCGGAGTAGTACTCGGCCGGACCAAGGTCCAGCCCGTCGAGGCTGAGGCTTCCCAGCGCCGACGCCGAGTCGACGAACACGCCGGCGGCGCCGTCGTCGAGCTCGCCGGAGGACTGCATCTGCTGGTCCCATCTCAGCTCGGAGAAGCAGGGCAGCGGCTGGAACGCCGCCGCGGCCGCCGTCGAGCCGGCCGACGTCGACGTGCTCGGGCTCGGGTCGATGTGGTGGTGGTACACGTTGTTCGGGACGACGCACGCCGTTGCTGCTTCTGCTTGCTGCAGGTGGGTGTCGAAGTCGAACGGCGAGGAGGAGGCGGTGGCCATGGCGGCGTGGTGGTGGAGTGGCGGTGGCGGCGGCGGAGTGGGGTCGGTGGCTGCTCCGGCCATCTTCTCGAGGAGGCGAGGCATCCAATAGCAGCGGACGGCGTCGCGGAAGACGGTGCTGTTGGCGTCGACCTTGAGCTGCCTGGCCTGCTTCTGCACCCTCGTCCTCCAGTAGTTCTTGATCTCGTTGTCCGTCCTCCCCGGCAGATGCTGCGCTATCCTCGACCACCTGATCAATCAAATTAACCAATCGATCTTGATCAGAGATAATTGATTTTGATTGATATATATGTGCAGATTGATCAAATCAATATGTATACCTACCTGTTTCCCCACCTGGAATGGAGCTCAAGAATGAGCAGCTGCTCCTCCGGCGTCAGATTCCCGCGCTTTATGTCAGGCTTGAGGTAGTTGAGCCATCTTAGCCTGCAGCTCTTGCCCGTCCTCTTCAACCCTAATCGATTAATTAACCCAAATTTGTTCAAGATTGATTGTACTTGACCTAGATGCCATGGTTAGATCGATGATGATTGCAGAGTGACGGAGGACTCACCGGAGCAGCGGGCGAGGAGATTCCAGCGGCCTTCGCCATGGCAGGCAATGTAGTTCATGAGGAGGTTGTCTTCCTCGAGGGTCCATGGTCCTCGCCTCAGCTCCATCATCTCCTCTGCCATGGCCTCCTGCTGCTGCTTGCTCATCACTCCCATGGGCCCTGCAACTCTCCTCTGCGACATTGCTGTCTACTACCTTTGCAGCAGCTGGGATATATAGCTATCTAGAGCTTCTTCTTCTACTACTAGTAGTATAAATGTTGTTGGTCAGTTGGTGGATTGGATGATGAGGTCGATGTATGATCCCCTTGGAGGGTGCAACTCATACAACCATATATATAGCCATGTACCTCCACTAGCTCTCACTAGCTTAATTAGCTTGCCCCTTAACTACTCTCTCAACTCTCAACTCTCTAGGAGATCAATTAGGGAAGAAAAGAATGGAAGAGAGCAAGCACAAGTAAGTACAAGAGAAGAGGGAGGAGAGATGCATATGGCCTAGCTGCAGAGAGAGAGAGAGAGCTAAATTAAGTTATTATTGGTGGCTGCTTGAGATCAATATATATATATATATATATATATATATATATATATATATATATATATATATATCCCTTTTATAATGACTTGTGGCAATCATATGAAGGGAATTTTTGAGGGGGCATGCATGCAACTGCCCCTAATCAAGACTGAAAAGTACTACTACTTGTAGGAAGAAGAGGGGTACATTTTAATTTGGTGGGTTAATTAGCTTCTTGGGGGAGAAGAGAAGGAAGAGGAGAGGAGAAAGCCAAGTGCGTTGTTACACACCAAAAGGTCAGGGCAATCTGTCAAAGCTTCCATCTTTTTCTATGGAATGAGAGAGAGAGAGAGAGAGTGAGAGAAGAAATAGTGCCCAGTACTGATCTTTAGATTCTCTCCTACATGAAGCGTGTTTGACTGAACAATTTGTCATCCCTCTTGCAGCACTGTGTTAGGATTAGACGAGAGAGGGAGAGTGGGATGGAGAGATGACCAAATTGTTGGATGCACACATTGGTGAACCACACACCTCTCCACGATCTCCTTTTGCACTGCAAAAAAAAAACAGTAATGCAAAACGTTATTCTTTTTGTTTCTTTTGGAATATATATTATCCTTTTGTGATAAGCTCAAATCCCAAATAGAGACATGTACATATACATATGCATGCATGGGTTTTTATTTATTGATATTACACCAAATCATTGGTATGTTTTCGAAAGCTACCACACTTTATGGTATAGTGAAATGCAAATGTGTCTCCACGCATGCAACTACCTGCCTATGGGCCTATGGCACTTAACCATGCGTTCAATCAGAATAATTATCTGTTTCATAATTAATTATTTACTACCAGTTTGAACTAGAATTATTTGCCAGATGAGGTACGGTCTACTTCAAGCAAAGAATAAGCAATCAATCAGCGAGACTTGTGCTTGCAAAGCAAATAGCTTTGTAGTTCTTTCTCCCGAAAAGCCAATGAAACACTAAACTTTGGAGACAGCACCCTGGTAAGTAAGCAAAGATTAGGTAGGAATGCCTGTATAAGTTCCTAGGATAATCATATAAAATATTCGTAGGACCTAATGATTCTTGACCTAACTGTCTGCATGCCGACCGGTTAAAATGTTCAATTCAAATGTTTAGCTTAAATAGTTTGTGCGTGATGTTGGCACAGTTGCATGCATACCATGGTGTGTAGTCAAATACTTGCAATTAATCTTAATATTTGCCGCATCTAAAGTGTCAGTTTTGCGGCTTCCCTTGACCGAATTTTCAGAAGTACAGTCACTGTTAAGTTGGAAAAGAATCAATTCAAACATGCATGTCCTTGAAACATATAATCAATTGAAAGGTCATTGAATTATACTATATGAATACCCCGTTGTGTTGCTGCCGGAAATTAAGTTACATAATATGTATAAATAAGATGCAATATAATTATTAAAACTAAAACAAATTGATACTTATGAATTTTGAGCCTAAAAATGATTGAGATTGCATGGTGTTATGAGAGAAGAAAGAAGAGATAATTTGAACTATGGATCTATCAGCCAAAGGCTAGAAATAATTAGGGTGATGTGGCTTAATGAGAGAAGAGAGAAATAGCATTAACTATACTTAGTGGGGATGAACTATATAAGTATATAGGATTTGAGCACACATGTCAAAAAGATGACAAGTGAATAATTTACAATAGACTTGTTGCATGATATATTTAACATGTATAGGAAATAGATGAAGTGTAGGCATTCTTGTTATCTTGCTATTAATGGTGCAAACAAAAAAAATCGAATAAAGCCTAAGCCATGCATATTTTTCATGAAAAATACAATTTTATTGGAATTTGTAAATATATTAAGATATAAATAAGTGGTCCGATAATGTTTGTGTGAGACCAGACCAATGTCTAAATCAATACGTATTTGTGATCGGATCGAGTAATTCTAGCACTAGTACGTGTAAGTTCTCATATGAGCCATACTACGGTGCTCTCTGTTGGTAGTAAAAAGCAATATGAACCGTTGTTCTCATTTGGTTGAAGGGTTTAGATTTATTTGTACTACCACTTCAGTTAGCGGTATTAGAAATGTGGAGGTGCATTATTATAAAAAAAAGTGTGGAGGGATATAATCAACATTTAGCAATGACGACTAGACCTTTTTTTCAACTTTTTTTTTGGCTTTTTCGATGGAATATAGGTGTGAGCAATGCCAGCGGAATGGATGACCAAATAATAGATCTAGAAAAAACATAAATAACAAAGTTACCTCTAATCATTGTATTGGTAAATTACTAATTTATTCTTAATAATGAACGATTATGATCATTTGGTAATTTCTCTTTTAGAGCACGGGAACATTGCTCTTTTTCATATATGTTAGTTAATTATTAGAGAAAATAATTGTAAATGAGGAAGAAATTAACATACACTAGCTCGCATAATAGTTTTAGCGTATCTGCAATTGGTTACGCTAAGTTATAACCTTTGGTCCATTAAACATCATCATATCGTTACTCACAAAGTTCTCTTTTATATGCTTCCTTGCAAAAAAAAAAGGGAGTTCTCAAAAAAAAAAGGGAGTTCTCTCTTTTATTTGCGGCCTTTTTTTCAACAGAAGCACGATAAAGCTAACAATAATTCATAAACATGTAACTTTGAAAGAAACCTACACAAGTACAATAAACTATACTAGTACACCACTAGCTAGCCATGAGTTAGCTAGCCATGAGTTAGCGATCACTCATATGTACACAAATATAAAGGATTCTAGTATTTGAAATATGTTAGCAATTATATGGGTTTCTAATACTATTTCTCTTACCCAACCGTCCCTCTCATTTAAGTTTCACCTAATGTTACCCCTAACCATCCTTCCATGCATCCCCATCCACCCCTTATTTAGTAAGGAGCATCATAGGCCTTGTTAAGTTAGGGAAAAATTTTGTGTGTGGTTGTCACATCGGATATATGGACACACATTGAAAGTATTAAACGTAGTCTCATAACAACACAAATTACAGATTCCGCCAGGAAACTGTGAGGCGAATTTATTAAGCCTAATTAATCCGTCATTAGAAAATGTTTACTGTAGCACCACATTGTCAAATCATGGTGCAATTAGACTTAAAAGATTCGTCTCGCAATTTACACTCAAACTGTGTAATTGGTTTTTTTTCACATTTTATACTCCATACATGTGTCCAAACATTCGATGTGATGGGTGAAAAGTTTTTGTTTTGGGAATAAAAAAGGCCATAGTATGTATAAAAAGAAATTTTACAATCCTTAAATGATACCGAAATTTTTAGAACAAATACCCGTAGCTCCTAGTTTTGAAGATATCGAGAGGCACCAAATTTTACACTGGAAATATGGTACCTCCCAGTACCTACTCAAGAACTGTAAAATCAGTCATGTTCTAAAAATCTCCGTTCGTTACCTCCCGTTCCCAACTTTCCTCCCTCATTTTCCGTGTGCACGTTTTTTAAACTGCTAAACGGTGCGTTTTCTTAAAAAAAAATTTCTATACGAAAGTTGCTTAAAAATCATATTAATCCATTTTTGAAAAAAAAGTAAATACTTAATTAATCATCCGCTAATCGCTGCTCCGTTTTTCGTGCCATGGAGTGAGGGTTCCCAACCCTCGCTCCCGAAGGCAGCCTTATTTGATGACTCAACTTTTCCTTTAGAAACTTGGTTGTTTGAGATCACAATGAATGGTGTTTCGACTTCTCCGCACTATAAGTCTAGCTATCTACGCACCCCATTTGAGACATCGACTTTAATCTTTTCAAATACATATTTTCTCCATTAGTGCTTAATTAACCATCAGTTCTATATAGTATAATTTATCTTTATTGTGATGTCTATGATTGTTGTAACATCATATATATATTTCGGGTCCTTTTTGTCATTGACAATATTTTCAAATACATATTTTCACCATTCGTGCTTAATTAATCATCAGCTGTACATATAATTAATCTTTATTGTGATGTCTATGATTGTTGTAACATCATAGATATTTCGGGTCCTTTTTGTCATTGACAGTGGCTATATATGCTCATCAGCTAGGATATAAAAGTATATAAATATGATTTTAGATCTGTCCAGTCGTGTTACTCATGCATAAACTTGATTAATTATTGCCTATAAATGGACCAACCTATATATCTAGGGTGCTGATTGATCAAGAACTCGAGATAATTCTACTTGAAAGTAACAAACAACAACTAGGAGGATACGCTCAAAAGAAGAGAAAAAATTACATTGGTGGTCCAAATTTTAACACTTGCAAATATTGTACCAGCTGGTAAGCTTTTCCTATGGACCACGCACTAATACCATGGCAAACAAGTGATTATCCATATGGACCACATAATGATCGTTGCATTAGCTCACAAACTACTAGAAAGAACAAAATTATTGTAAATTTAGTTACACATGCATGAGCCAGTTAACGGCATGATTAGCCTTTCTAGAAAAACAACATATGTAGCACACCGTTTTATCTTCCTTGTCATTTTGGAGAACGATGTAGTCAAGAAAACTTGTATTTTCCATTATTGTTTCTAATCATTATATGATATAAAAACTATTAAATATTTTATATGTGATGAATCCAAACATTTCTCTAGATATTTGTCATCGAAGTTTGCAGGGTTGAATAACATTTTCTAGTATGTCCTAAATTCTATTTGAGACAGATCAAAGTAGATCATTTTTTTTTCAGTAGTGCATATATATAGTAAATTCCTCATATATATGCTAAACCAAATGTTACTCTTGTATGATAGTATTAATTATTTCATTTACAATTTTATATACTCAATCTATCTGAAACTACCAGCTAACTTTTATGCACCCTTCTTGTTTCGCCTTCATATCTCATCCTTTAATTTCATCCTTCCCATTCTAAAACCAAGCTTCAAATATTGGCAAGAAAGGGAACAGTAAAATTTTGGATGCCATATTAAGAAAAATAAATGTCCGTACGTACGCCACATGATGAATTTGTCCTTGTTTTT